AGTTTTTAAAAAACATAAAACAAGGATCTGCTAAGATATATAAAAATATCCCAGTCATTCTAACTTTATATAAGGTTTAGAACAAATGATTACACATCATTTATAAAGCAAGTTTTTATGTTTGTGGAAGTTCAGTAAACATTAATTATATATTAAAGTAAGTAAGTAATTATCAATATAGAAAACAACTAAAAATGTAACCGAAATTAATGACTAATTCATGGAATGCATAATAAACGTCCCCCGGTGGAACAGCGGTAAGTTTTCAGACTTACAACGCTAAAACCTGGGGCTCGATTTCCCGAGGTGGACACCGCAGATAATCCAATGTGGCTTTGTTCAATAAAGCAAACTGTATAGAAGTTATTTGCAAAAAATATTTCCAGTTTCAATCACAATATGAATTCAAAACACTAATCCAAGCTATATGAGCTTAATTGTGAAAAAAAAATTCAAAGATCAGAATATAATTCAATATACACTGAATCTTTATTATCAGCATAAGTACAAGTGTTTAAAATAATCTGAGGGTCGCGGGTTCGAATCCCCGTCCCACCAAACACGCTCGCCCTTTCAGCCGTGGGGGCGTTATTATGTGACATTTAATCCCACTATTCGTTGGTAAAAGGAGTTGGCGGTGGGTGTTGATGACTAGCTGCCTTCCCTCTAGTCTTACACTATTAAATTAGGGACAGCTAGCGCAGTAGCCCTCGTGTAGCTTTGCGCGAAATTCAAAAACAAACAAACCTTATGGGTATTAAGTTGGCACATTCGTTGAAATATTAATAAAGAAAACCTAATGCTTGTAATTATCTAAGAGTTTTAAGCCTCTTACAATGTAGTTATGATACGAGATAAAATTACAAAAACTTGTCTTTATTTTATACCCTTATTCTAAGCGATCGGATTTACTTGTTCTCTTATACTCTTGTAAAATAAAATTAGATTTATTTGTTCATTCAAATCCTGATCTTATACAATCAAATGTATTTATTTATATCGTTACATTATAAAGTCACGAGATTGAAGTGATGTTTTATAACCTTAAATTATTAAATCATGGCATTTTTCATATTATGCTAGTTCTAGTTGAAGCTACTTTAGATTCAGACTAAAAAGTACAGAAAGTCATTTCAAATTACGTGAAACATAGAATCAAACCCTAAAACATACTTTGCTTTATGAATACAGAATACAAAAATAATTATCTAAAATAATGAAATATGATAAATTTTGATAAGCAAGAAATCACAAAGGAAACAATATTAAATTGAAGCAATAAGTTTCACACAGACCTCAGCTACGTTGAGGATAAAATGTTCTACTTATGAGCGAACTGATACGTTCAATGAGTGAATAAAAATTCTTTTAGAATGGTTCATTTCACAAAAATTAAAGAAGGAAAAGTGTGAACGTATTGTTTTTGTCGTTCGAGTGCAATACGTTATTTGCACGTTACGTTCACTTACGCATTTTATGTAACCTATATTATTGCACAGCCACTGACTTATAAATAAATTATAATTAATGAAGCATCACAGATTTCATAACTTTATCATAGCACGTAGCAGCATAAAACTCAGAAGTTGAAGATCTTGTAAACATAGCTTAATAACTATTGATATACATGTGAAATATTACAAGATATTTTCTTAAAGTATTATTTCACTGCGAACTTATATAATTGGATATTTATAATTAGCAAAGATCATAAACTGGTAAAAACTAAAATTTGATTCAGTTCCATACCATAAGCACGTAAAAGTGAATATGAAAAATAAAACGTTGTGTTTATTAATTACATTCAATGTGAGATAACGCTGATTTTATTATCTTAATTTTTAAAAATACTTATATCAACAATACTATAATCATGGCAAAAATACAGTTTTGTTTGAATACAAACAGTGCATAGATTAATATGTTCTATATAACAAAATATTTTTTTTAATTTCAGCATTACTGCATTAACTGGTTAAGACTACTTCCCGACTACCGAAATTTTTGTGTCGACATTCATTTATTTATTTTTCGTGAATATTCTACTTTCCACCGTTGGCACAGTAATTCTGCGGAATTATAACGCTAATAACCGGTTTCGATATCCGTAGTGGGCACAGCACAGATAGCCCACTGTGTAGTTTTGTGTGTAACTATAAACACTTATTGTTCTACCATTGATCCGCATGTGTTAATGCCTAGAATGTGAACGGCTCTAATGAACTGTATTGTTTTTTCTCTATTGTTCTACTCCATTCGGTTTAATGATATAACAATGAAAGAACGTAAAATATTAGCTACATTTTCTTCATAAGTTCCGTTTGGCAACGATCTAATAACAACTTTCTCGCAACTTCTAAGTCAATAAACATCTCACAAAGAAGATTTTCTTTGAGTTTATGCTGCATTCAAACTACAATAAGGTTAGCCTACAACATATCGTATAAAGTATATTAAATTACGAACGAATCTTTTAAGCCACATGTTATATCAATACTTGAGCAAAACATTTTACATGTACAAAAACATTGAAAATAGAATAGTGTCCTCCGGCGGTAAGTCTACGTACTTGCAACGCTAAGATCCAGGGTTCGATTCCCCACGGTGGACACAACAGACAGCCCAACGTGGTTTTGCTTTAAAACAAGAACTTCGGCCAATTAATTATATAATGCCCCCCCCCCCAAATAAAATAAAAAGACAAACCCTGTAAAGATGCATTGTAAAACTGGATACGTTTTAACAAGAAAAATTAGGAAATACTTAGCCCCTTTTTTTATTGCAACTTGAACAAGAACAACATGTATGAAAACGAGGGCCAAGAAGATCGATATACACTTTTCACCAACGATCGATTTGAAGGCTGACTACAATTGTTATCACCATGCCTCACACACTACACTCTACATCTACTTCCATGTTAATAATTTGATTAGCCAAATGGTTACTTTTCATTTTTTTTATATTGAAAATTGATGAGCTTTCCATGCTACCATGTTTACTATATAGTTATTTCGAGATGTTATTTGAATACGATTTTACTCTCTGGCTGAAATTAAAGAAAATCAAAATCCAAATATAATATAAGATTAATGTTCTTTTCTAATACTGCGAAGAAAAAAAAACAATTAGAATTTTAATATTTGCAAAAAATTGGATAAACATTTGGCTTATGCAAGAAAGGACAATCGGAAAAACAAGAAAAAAAAACACATGAAAATGAAACTAAAACAAATACTTATTGTATGTTACTACGCAAAATAACTTCAGCCAAAAGTATAAAACTCAAAATCGATACTCCATTGAGTTTTGTTTCTCACCTCCTGTTTACACCAGGCACATTCTGGTAATTGAATGCATTCACCACAGGTAGTAGCTGTGGTGCATATAGTGACCTTAATTTCTTCAACATCTGTAAAAAGTAATATAATTTACTTCATTACACCTTATTGTGATAACTTCCTTCACAAAAATAGTTTTTAATTATTTTTTAAGCTTTAGGCTTTGTTGTTTCTTACCTCTTCGGCTGTTTGAAAGACTACTGTGGTTAATACCACCTCTTACCAAAAAAAAAAAAAGGAATGAGACAGATTAAAGAAAGTGAGGTCAGAGGAGATTCCAAGATCTGTTCATCTAGGATTATGCTAGTTTATGAATAAAGAAAATTAACTTATTTTAATAACACTGTTTTTTAGGAATTTACGTAATTATTTTTCTCTTTTTTTATTCTTTGGCCTAGCATGGCCAGGTGGTTAGGGCGCTCGACTTGCAATCTGTGGGTCGTGGATTTGAATCGCCGTCCCACCAAGCATGCTTGCTCTTTCAGCCATGGGGGCGTTATAATGTGACGGCCAATCCCACTATTCGTTAGTAAAAGAGTTGGCGGTGGTTGGTGATGACTAGCTGTATCTATTATAGTCTTTCACTACTAAATTAGGGACGGCTAGTGCAGATAGCTATGCACGAAATTCAAAACAAATTTATATTCTTAATCATTTTTCTGCCTTGTCATTAATTTTTTTGATAGGTTAGAAGATGCTTAGAAGATGTTTTTTCAGGGTTTTATCCCCAGGATCACTAACCTTTCAAGTCCTTGGTGTGTTTAGTACTTGCTTATATGCAATGTCTCGTGATGATCCTCATTGGCCTACTCGCTTTGTATCATGATTCTTACAATTCTGTCTTTTCAACTAAGCTAAAGCTCTTGCTGAAGTACTTCAAAATTTAATCGTGAGAAAGGTTTGAACCTTGGTGCAGATCCTCTCCTTTCAGTTTCAAAACAACAGCTTTGCAGAGGTGTTGAAATATCCTAGCCTATGTAAAATATAAGAAAACAGTGCTCTGAGGCCTGTTCTCTTGAACCAACCTACTAAGATATCGGTCTCAAAAATCATCAAGTAAACAACTCTACCCAGACTGATTGAATAAAGAACATTTCTAAGATATCGGTCTCAAAAATCATCAAGTAAACAACTCTACCCAGACTGATTGAATAAAGAACATTTCGATTTTATTTCTCTACTTGCTGATTTTGTAAATATTTCTTTCAAGTCAGTACTCATTTAACTTTATTATTAAGGCTGCAGGAAACCAACTGCAGTATGACTTAATTTTGACACGCTACTGTTTAGTCAATTTATATTATCTTGGTTCACCACAAGGTGTTTATCCACTTTGAAGTTCTTCAGTGGAATCACAAAGTTTAAGAACTAAAACACTACATTGATACCAACTCCCCACGTGCTTCATTAAGTTGCGAAAACACAGTTAAAGCCATATTTACGTTACTCTGGATGTGACATTCATCACTGGATCAAACTACAATTGAAGATGATGGTTTATGTTGTTTACTTTGCCAGCATATATCATAATGTCCAGTAGTACATGTAATAATTGATACTTCTGCACTTGAGAGATTGTGCATTCATACAGCTGTTGAATCTTTATAAATTAAGCTTTTTCTGTGTAATTCTTGTACAAGTTTTTAATCAGAGCAGTTGCTTTAAAGGATACCGATTACAAAAACATAATGTTCTATTTTTCTATTGGTTGATGCTATGAAAAAGAATAATAATATTTGTTTGCTCATTGTTAATACAAGTGTGCTTAGAATATAGTTGAGGAACATTTATTTCATTTTACGGAAATCCCCTGAAATTCCCGAGATGTAATGCACAGTGCCCGAATGACAGTGTGACACCACTGTTGTGACATAAAACTTTGGATAGTCTCCGTATATGTAAAACTATACATAATACTGTTTATTATAATTGTGAATTTACAATATATCTTTAAGAAAGCTGGCATGCTTTTAGTAAAAAATATTTGTGTACACATAAAATCAGATTTTTCAATAAAATATTTCTACTAAAGGTTTACTTGTGAACTTGCGATGTCTTTATTGAGTCTTCAGCTGTTAGAATATTTATTTTGTTGCCTAATGTGAGTTATCATGTCACTAATTTTTAGAAAATTAAAGTTACTTTAGAAAATATTTTTCTAATCATCTGGATCTTAAATATCATAATTTAATACGTAACTGTGATCATATTCTATAAATTTATAATTAGTTATCTTTAGGAATACCTTGGGACTCCACGCAGTCCAGAAACAAGTGTTGGATAAAGATGTATCCTAAAATTATAGGAATCCACATTCTCCTCGGGCCTGTGATAAATAAAATATACAAATAAACAGATAAAAAACAAAGTAGGTTCTCTCTCATGCATTTCTTCATCGTTTCTTTAACAAATAAGTTTGTGGGTTTATAAAAAAAATGAAGAATTTGCTATCACATAAAATATTTTAAATATGTAACCAAATTAAGTGTCAACACAACCCATAAGAGAAAAAATAGTTCAAACCACAATATTATTATTGCATTTAACATAAAGATGTGGTGATTTTCCTTATAACTCCTTCATTATCAGTGGTTTCAGTTTGCATTTATTTCTAGCTCAGTTCTATACAGTTTAGTATAAGTTCATTTTCTCTCCCCTATTGTAACTATTCGGTTTACCCTTATATAACTGTCAATAAAGATTTTGTTTGTTTCTTTAGTATTTTTGCCTCCACACTTAACTAATTGGATGCTTTGTATATTGGGATCTTAACCACTTTTTATGCAATTATTTTTAATTAAGAATACAGCCGATTTGACAAATTGTTTTATGGGCGTGACTGGGATTACGTCTAAGTGGATGTGTGAAAAGTTTGGTGATTTGAATTTATCCTTTCTTTCTTATATGTGTTACTTGGAAACTGTTATAAGAGGACCTATATTAAGAAAATAGAGGAACACACTAGTTTGAGGATGAGGTCCCCCTCCAGCATACACACACACATACATACAGTGGATTCACGGGAACTCAGGCTTAGACATGGATTGTTCTTCAGTACTCTGCCAAGAGCTCTATGTAATGAAGAAAAAAACTTTAATATAAGTTTAACATAACAGCAAATGTACAATGTTTCGACAAGGTTTTGTCATCATCATGACCTCTGGGCCATACTCGACTGGCAAGTCAAGAAACAACCAAAAAACCAACTTCGAAGAGCAATCTACTCCAACTTTTGAATCAAGAGTGGGCGAAAATCTCACAATCTAAAATTGACGAGATGATTCTAACGATGCCCCAAAGGGTCAACGAACTCCACAAAGCGAAAGGAAGATCTACTAGATATTAATTAAATTATAAATATATCAATTCATGTGAATATGACTGAAAATTTTCATTTTTTCTGAAAAGGTGGTGTCTATTTACTTGCGACCACGCTTTGTGTATAATGTATAACATCTGTTCGCCCTGAAAAGGACGTTTATTTAAATTTCACGTTTAGCTCTATAAGTTGATTTGCTTCACTAAAGTTTAGTTTTAAAAGATCTATGTAAATAACTATGTTAATCATTAGTACTGTAGAAAGTTATATTCTTACCTTTCTGTAGACATTTTTACAAATCTTTGTCTAGATCATTTTTCTTGCTAACTGAAACTATGGGCATATAGGCTAAAAGCTGGATGAACACTAATTGTAAAAAATGATTATATTTACATAAGTAAGTAATATTTTTGCCACTTTTTCTGTCATACATTTGTCACCAAATGATTTATACAGCAACTTTTTCAGTTCTATTGGTTATTTTAATCTGACTCATCACGTCCTGATGGCATGTTCACAAAGCTAACCCTCGTGTAAAACCAAGTAACTAAGGCTACAACAAGTAATGCTTTGGTTTCTATTAAACTGACAGACTAAAGATTGTTGACAAATCATAAATTATATTTCCGTATCTTTCAAAACTTCACTTTATCTATACTGTAACATTTAAACTTATTAGTTCACCAAAGCATTAAACACATTTTTCACAAATGAGCTTAGTTTATAACCAAAAACATTTGTGCACAATTCTTGTATTATGTAGAGTTCAATAGTAAATAAATCAATTTTGCTCTGAAGTGTTGATACTCATAATCTTAAAAGGACTTTTAATTATAAATCAAGTGATTATGCAAAATATTCTTTCACGTTTAATAAATCCAACACGTTTACGTTTTATCATTACATAATATACTTTACAACAACAATGTAAAATCACAGATTCGACAAGTGTCACACACATTGAAACATTTATTAACAAAACTTCAATTATTAGGTAAACGAATAAACTATTTATGTAAATATCTTAGTTTATAAAATACTGGATTGTCTCGTTTAAATTAGCTTTCATACAACCTTTGTACATTTCTACATTGTGTTCATTTCAGTTAGAGTCTACATTTTTCATGTAATTACTGTATAACAATATGTGAAAAAACATTGAATTTATAATGAGAGATTTTAATACATTGTGTTAAAGATATTTCACTACATAAATAAAGGAATAAAGGATTCAAACATGTGCATTATAGTGACACCAGTAGTATTATTTGTTTACACTGTGCATTCAATGCAAACTAAGTTTGTAAGATTTCAGTTTGTAAACTCAAAAGAACTAGTTTATCGACTATTTTACATTTCAAAACAGATATTCTCCTCACATAGATTTGGAACAATGTTATTGTACCATATGATGCTTTATCTTTCACTTCACTTATACTATGTAGAAAGATCATCAGTTACAATTCAGTGTTCTGTGATTTCCTTATATAAAACTCACATTTCATCATAGCCTAATATGCTTTAAACAGATATTTATATATATGTAAGAGAAATCTCAGACATAACAAGTATCCCACATACTGAAACATTTATTAACAAAACTTCAAGATACACTAATATACTATTTATGAAAACTACAAAATATTAGATGTTGTTGTTTAAATTAGCTTTCATACAACTTTAATACTTTTCTACATTATGCCCATATTACTACTTGTTAAGTTCAGTATGTAACATTTTAATATAATTTATAAACAAAAATGTTAGTGTACAATTCTTGTATCTTGCTGAGTTAATCGTAATTTACAACAAAAGCATTTTACGCTCATTACGCAGTGAGATGAATTTGTGCCAAACAAACAGAAATTGATCAAATGTTCAGAGAGGGTTAGTTTACAAATATTCAGAAAAGATAACTTATAATCATTTTACTTTGATAATTCAATAATAAAAAGTAACTTAATTCTTTTCTTTTCAGACTAAAGATCAAATGTCAGATAATTATGTGTCTAGCATAAACATTATTTTAGACAAATCGTAGATAAAGTCGTATTTTTCTAACTTGAAGTTTTTTAAATAACTGTTTCAATATGAGTGATACCCGTCAAGTCTGTGATTTTGCTTACGTATATTGGTGATAACATCTTACGCTATGGGTAATGTGAGGGTCAAAAGATCTATTGTTCAGTACGACGGGAACAGTCAAATTATTTATGGATTTCAAGTACATGATGTGTTTTGTAAAGTTTCTAAATGAAAAAAAAAAAACTTTCTATGATCATATTCATTCAAATCACTTTGGGGAATGTCCCTTATGTTTCGTATATGACGATTTATTCAATTTGACCAATCGCATGCTAGAACATATATATATATATATATACCACAGATATTATTACACTGGGCTGTAGGTCAATATTTTATAAACTAAGATGTTTGTAGTTTTCGTAAATAATACATTAGTGTATCTAATTCTTGAAGTGTTATTAATAAATGTTGCAGTATGTGTGACACTTGTCAAGTCTGTGATTTTACATTGTTGTTGTAAAGTGTATTCTATAATGATAAACGGTAAATATGTTGGACTTATGAAATGATTTCATGTGTCATTTCTGATAGACCATATATTTTATTGTGAGAAATAGTAAAATTGAAAAAAATTTTCAAGAATTTTTTTATTGTTATCATCAACTATTTACATTATAATTGTCAACTCTATATAGCAACTGATTTATTTATTATTGAACCCCGTGTGATACAAGAATTGTACACAAACATTTTGGTTATAAACTAAGTTCATTTGCAAAAAATGTATTTAATGATTTGTTGAGCTACTGTGTTTAAATGTTATAGTGTAGATAAAGTGAAATTTTGAAAGATACTGAAAGAGAATTTATGATTTGTCAACACTTTTTAGTCTATCAGTTTTATAGAAACAAGAGAATTGCTTGTTTTAGGCTTAGTTACTTGGTTTTGCACGAGGGTTAGCTTTGTCAACATGCCATCGGGGTGTCATGAGTCAGATTAAAATAACCATTAGAACTGAAAGAGGCCACACCGTCTTGTGTGTGTTGTAGTGACACTGGTTATTAAATATTTAGCAATCATTTGATGACAAACTTACAACAAAGATTTTTCAAAATCTGTTATATTTCATAAAGAATGATATGTTTCATAAAACGGTAGTGTTTTATACATTGTTTATTATTGGTTAATTTGTAATAATTATTTCGTGATTTAAAGTGAAAGCTATAAAGAAAATAAGAAAAATCACCGAAAAAACTTTCGCACAAATAGTACTATAAAGAAAAAATCTTGTGCAGTGCAATAAAAACTTTAACAAACAAAATATTCAATGTAACCTAATATTGGTTTCACGAAATAACTGTTTGTTGTAGTATGAAAACTATATTTTTGTCTTTTATAAAACAAAAAAAATTTGATTCCCCATTCTTTTTTGTACATATTATTTAATTAAACACAGATTGAACAATAAACTTATTTACTTTTGTCAATGTGATATAAAAACATGACTTATGTAACAGTGTTTTAATAGCTGCCTCGTTCAAATAGAGGTTTTACTTATAAAGTAACTTTTTTAGCCATATCTATTTAATTATTGAAACGAATTTGCAATATTAATTTTTTAGATTCAATTGTAGAACGTACGCAATATAATTATTTCTAGATATAATCATATATTGAGACCATACGATGACCTCATCATCCTATTGAACTATCCTCATATAATACCACCATCTGCCCTAGCAGCACTAGCCTTAATAACACAATCCGCATAGTAACACCATCTAACTATAGAACTTTGGTAACAGCATTCGCCTATAGAAACACTGCCCTTATTCACAGCATTCGTCTACAATAACAAGCCCTCTGGTGTCGAACTATGATGTCACTTCCACTTCCATCCCCTAGCAGCACATCCTCTGGTAAGTAACACTGGAATTCTGATATCACGCAATATCCCATAACAACGCGCCCTCTGGTGCCACTTCGTGGCTCTAGGGTGTCATCGGCTAGCCCCACCCATATCACCTGAGGCATCCGATCAGCGCGCGGTGTCTGAACTTATGAGAGTATAGTGCCTTTATCTTTAGAATAGCGAAAAACCTCCAGTGAACATTTCTTTTTGTTTGTAGCATATCTTTCATTACTTGTTTGTGTTAGTGGTCTGTATAATCACATGGTAATGATTAAAAACCACAACATTGATGTAAGACAGTGTAATGATGTTTGATTTTACCAGTGGCAAGTGTTTGAACTTTCTGTGTAAAGCATTTGAAAGTGGTAGTTTCATTATAACGAATTAATGGTATATGATAATGAAGATTCAGTTAACGCAACTTGTGCAATAGATTTCAAAATTAATTATAGGATCTACGTTTAAAATGTACAATAAGATGTTTATTAAGGCAAAATTAAAAATACTACATGTTTCGGTAACTTTACACTACCATCATCAGGATTGAAAACATACACGACAACATGGGCGTCCGCGGGGTGTGGCCACTTGCCCACCTGGAAAATGAGAAACATAATTCTATCTTTATTCATTCAGCACATGTGCATGAATTTACACGTTTTTATTCACTTCACAATTCCACATTAATTTTCAATTCTAATAAAAGTTGCCAGATTTGTCAGCATATTTACTTAAAATCTCTAGATATCTACCCTGTAGCTAAATAT